TATGTTTTGGAATTAGTAATTGACTTGAATGTAGCCTCAAACCTTACAGACCCTTCTGAACCCAAGATTATTTTCTGATTTCTTGCTCTAGGTAACTCCCTCATCCAGATAAAATAAAAGCGCTTGGACACCTTCAGCGCTGCGGGGGTACTGAAAGCAAATTCTTTGCCTCTTATCAGCAAGGAAGCTCTCGGATAGAAAACTCTTTTCTTCTTTACTTCATTTGAGTTAACCTCCACTGATTCAATTAACTTCTTTCTTCCAAGCTGTATGTGACCTATCTGTACTCTTACAACCAATTCTTCATCTTACCCATATTTCCTTCACCAACAAAGTCTTCCCCACATCTGATATAAATATTTTTGTATTATTAGTTTTAAGAAAGTGAAAAACTCACAAACTAATCAAGTCACCACCATATTTTCCTGTAAATCTATTCCCCATTATGTATACAACATTTATGTTGCTCCCATCATGGACAGGTCTGTTCAGAGGAAAATACATGGAATAAGGACCACATAGAGAAGAAGAACAGGACTGTGACAACAACTCATAAATCTGGACAAGGAATTAAGAAAGTAACACTCATTGGAAAGTGGAAATTGCAGAGAAATGAGAAACTGCTGACACAACAGCTCCTTAAGGAAGTTCCTGTTGGTCATCTCAGGGAGACAATGGGCAAAATGAATGCCAGCTTCTGCCTGCTATACAGGCCTCAGACCTGAAGAGCACCTTCTGGAACCTACAGACATGCTTGTGTTCTCTACTTGTGGTTTCATGACCAGGAGTGTAAAATGTTTTGCAAACTTCAGTCTCTCTGCATTAAACATGCCCATCAAGCTCTGACAAACAGAAATGTTTCCTTCGGTTTCCTGTTTTGAATTCAGCAAATGTTAATTGGGTCTTGACCATATTTTTTCACCTTACGCAATCTAACAAGTTTAACTATGGGAAGATGGTTGACTAATGTACAGCACAAGATTCTGGATGCCAGGACAGCTGATTCTGGGCTCTACTGACTCACTGTCTCACTTTGGACAAGTCTTCAGGACCTCTATTTTGGTAACTGTCAGGGTGAGAATATTATACAGATATTTTCATTGCTAATACCCATCCTTATTTTCTCTAGAACCATTTGTAATGCAAGAAAGTATCCAACAAGCTAATAATGCATAATGAAAAGTATGCATAATGAAAAGTAATTACATGTTAAAACAAAAATTCACAACCTTTGATCTCTGATAATGCAAATTCAGTCTGATTTTCTAACAGGGGTGCATTTTTCCTGCTGGATGTTTTTGGAACACTTGCATGTGTTAACACTAATAAAGCTGGGAATACCCAAATTCACCAATAACCTTGCGGGCACATTGCAAGCATTTATTTGCCTTCTTCAGCTTTTTTAAAAACAAGTTGAATTAAAACAAAGCACAATCATGTTATATTCATTGTTGTTTTATACTAGTAAAAACCCCACAAACACCACCAATTGAAGCCTTCTCATCCCTTTGACAGCATATTTGTGTTTAACACTGGTTTTGCAAAAAATTTTTTAAGAAACCAGAGGGAGGATTTCAATATTGTCCAAGTCAGTAATTTAAGGTGCATTTCACTTCAAGAATCTTGTGGCAGATGCCATGTATCCCCAGGAATTAATTTCCCGTTCCTGTCTGTCTAGATGTCAAGGACAGGGTCAATCTGAACCACAGGAAAGGAATTTCAAGGCACCTTCCTTTAGGAAGAAAACCCTTCACTTCAAGCCTCAACACATTGACAGCTTTGACAAAAATAAGATTTAATTCGACTTTATCTTTGGAAGATGCCTTGTGTCACATATTAATTTGTGTACACTTATGATAAATATGTTTCTATTCAAAAAGCAACTGCCGTGATGCACTGAAAAGTTTTCACCCCGTTTTACATCTAGAAATACAAGGTTACAGTGTGTAACACCGAAACAATATTAAGTTAATAACTCAGGTATACATTTCTGACAAAGAAATTAGAAAATCCACAAACTCATTTTATTAATGAACTTTTATGCTAAAAAAGTTTTTAATCATCAGCTAATTTCTACAGATTTTACCTCAGAAATATTTATGCTGAAAGCATAAGAAGTTTTTCCCTGAGTGATCCATACAAGAAAAAAACTAAATGAAGGATGAATACCTCCCCAGTTCTTACAATTTTTCTTCTCGGTGCAACAGCTGGCAGCTGAAGACTCCTGTATTTACAAGACTGGGTAATGACTTGTGATCCTATTTAATTTTTGCTTATATTTTTAATTTTGTTGGGGATTTGAACCCTGAATAACAGTGAAAAAGAAGTATAATTTGATAGAGTATACACATTACAAGTCTTCCTTTGAGAAAATAAAGGATTGGAATTAACCAAGTCTCCAAAAATTTTGCTTTGATCATGGCTTTACTTTTAAAACCCTTGCTTTGCCACAAGGAGATTTTGGCAAAACGTTTCTTTTGGGGAGGGGGGAGGAGATAAAAAACAGGGGGAGGAACCTAAAAATCTCCACCTTTTGGCCATCTCAAGTACTTGTCTGCCTGGAAGCTCAATATGATGCAATTAATGAAAAGCAATCCTCCACCTTCAGTGCTTCCTTCCCTTTCTCAAGACAGATGTGCTGACAGCATGGCACCTTCTTTAAAGGAACTCAGTTTTATGGAAGTTGATCTCTCAGCAAGGCACAAGTGGCTACAAGCTTTTGGCTGCCCCATGTATTTTCAAGCAAAATCACTGTGTTTCATGCCAAATACCCAGAGACAATATCAGACATGAAAACCATTTCTAACCAGGGTCCAGCAAATGCCTCTTTTTTTCCCAGATTCCTTTCAAATGTCTGTGCATGCTAAGATTTCCTTTGCTTGTCTTGGAAAACACTCTTGCAGACAAATGTATCTTGCTTGCAAGCTATTTCTTTTCTCATGTGGTGCACACATTTTATTCTGCTTGGCTTTAATCCTGTTCCTTCTAGACATACCCTCATATGTAACCTCAAACCAGTTCTCTCCCTCCATATTTTTACATCTTACAAGATATACAATGCCACTTTTTCCTCACTTATATCCAAACCCAAGAAAGAAAAACAACTCAAAATTCAACCTATCTAGGTGCCTAAAATCAAACACCTACATAAGTCACCTGTTAATTGGTGATGCTAAATACTTACGATTCCTACCGAAGTCAAGAACTGTAGAAAACTAGGATTAATTCAGCCCCCACAACTTCCATTTCCCACCTGCCCTCAGACAGTGAAGTATGCACATTCCTAGCTTTACTCACCAAACTAACTGTGTTAGGCTCAATGACACTGGATAAAGCAATTGCAGAAATTAAGTTATTGATTTGGATTCTCATGCCTAAAATTAGCCACAGAAGTTTGATACATTTTTAGCTTAAACATAACAGGAAAAGAAAACAAGAAGATAGAAGAAGACAACTAGATAGATACACAGAATCACAGATTTCCTTCTGTTATAGATTAGGAAATCAGGGGAATTTTTCTTCCCCTGCCCCACTCCAAGGGAAAAAAAACAACGGAGTGAGCGGGGGGGGGGGGGAAGGGAGGTTATTAGCGTTACAAAAGATGTAGCCTGCCTAGGTTAATGGCCCACTTTGGAGAGAGGAGAGAGGGAGGCGGGGGGCTGGTTCTGTTCGGGGAGGTGAGGGGCAGACGGCGGCGTGGCTGGCTCCCTGGGTGCAGACAGGCATTTTGGGGAGGGGGACCGGAGGTCTAGTTTTATTTTTGGCTGTCCATCCTGGTGAGCTCGACTTCTCATCCTGCTGGCTTCGACCTGCCTGACTGTCCCGCTCCCCGGATCTGCTGTGCTTCATCGGAGAGTTTGCTTGCCCGCGGGAGAGGAGGGGGAGTTTTTTTGAGACACCACGACCTGAGACTGCGGTGAGTCCTCGCCACTTGAGACAGCGGTGAGTTCCCGTGGGAGTGTACTGCCTGCCTTCCTTTTCCTCCCCACGGAGGGAAGGACCTCCCCATCTCCTCGGCTTCCCCACGCGGTCCGGGACCGCTCTCTCCAGCCCCCTCTTCCCGCGGGGTGACTGCCGGAGCCACAGCGCCCCTGCCGACCACGACCGGGCACTGCAGGTCCTGCACCTTCCAGCGACCCTACAGCGCCCCCTGCAGGTCATAATTAGGACTGTGCTAAAGGGCAGAGAAGTATTTAATTTAGACTTGTTGTTGTTGTTGTTGTTGGGGTTTTGTTTGTTTGTTTGTTTTTTGTTACTGTTTTTGCCAACATACATATATCTTTTAATAAAGGGTTGTTATTTCTTCTATTTTTTCCCCCATTTTCCTCGAGTAAAGCCCCTTAATTTGACGTTACAATTGCAGAGAGAGAGGAATTTGGTTTACCTCATAACTCATCCTCTTTAGCAAACAGTCCAGTCTCATCTGACTGTGACACCTTCCAAGAGGAAGCACAGCCCCAGAAAGCCTTATGGATATCAACCAGCTGTCATGAGAGACAGAGGAATGACATAACTGACGCTCCAGGCTTCATGCTTCACAGCACTTTGCAAAAGCCATCTGAAGGATGAATATGGAATAAAATTTTACTCTTCAGTCTTTCCCAAAGACTTTAGCAAAACTTAGTTTTCTTAATAGTGTCAATGTTCTGACTCAGAGAAACATCAGAGGAAAATAGTGACCTCCATATTTAAATATAAATCAATATATTTAAAGCATTTGTGGACATAACTTTTATCTGTCTCTGTAAAAATGTGGTTTAAGCTTCAGTCATTATTCAAAACAGGAACCACAGTTCTAAAATATTTTTTAAAAAGACAAAAATTTCTACAAACTATTTCAGAGTTAACAAAGCAATATGAAATTCTACAGAAAACTAATCATATATAAAGGATGGTATGAACTATTAGAACTGACGTTTCCACAGCTTTAGACCAACTAATATAACATTTGAACACAATCCTGAACAGCAACTGAACAGTAACAACAAGAGGTAGGACGGTGGGTTTTCAGTGGATATATCTGAGATGTCCCAGTTAAGTTTGACATTCAATCCCAAATACTTCTAATTATTTTTACTTCAGTGTTTTGGTACTAGGCTTCCAAGTAGAAATCCTGAAGTGGCTGCAAAAGCACTATCTTCCCTTCCATATGTAGCTGAAGAGCTTCGTGCATAGCACTAGCAAAACTCCTGTTGCTGCAAGTTCTGGTGAGAAAATCCTTCAAGAGAACAAACACATGGAAACCTCAGGAAGGGAAAGACAATTGTTGATTTCATATCTGGTTTGAAATTGCTTTCTTAATTTTACATAAATTAATAGCTCTGGAAGACTTTCTCTTTACAGGTTGCTAAAAGCTGAACTTTTCATGTAGGACTGGCTGAAGATCTTGTGTAAAAAAAAAGGCTGTCAGCAGAAATATGGTATTCTGGAAAGTTATGCTGACTTAGCAATATGCTTTAAAATAAACTAATTACACTTAACGTTTCTTCTGCCTTTTCCCATTAACTGATCATGAAGAGAGAGGAAAAATAAATAGATAATCCTCTTTGAGAATGCTTTTACCCTAAAGGAATATGGGAATAGATGTCTTAAGAGTCTTGCCTTAACAGCTACTGTCATTTTAAAAAGATTTACCTGGCTAAAAGATTAAAGACTAAAAACCAAATTTTTTTAGCAGTTTCCAACTATTTAAGCATCTCTTAGAAAGGGCACTAAGGTTCAAATATTCAAGGTTTGAAAACAGCAGTGGTAATGGCTAAGTAGGGATTGATTTGAGAGAGAGTAAATACAACCTATTCTTATGACTATGGGAGTCATAAGAATTACAATAATTCAAAAATCATCCACAAGTATGTGAGGTTTGTTTTCTTTATGGTATTTAACAGAGATTGGCATTTCTGTGGTTTTTGTTTTGGAACACTGATTTGGGTTTGGGATTTACTGATAAACCAGCAATTAACGAGTTGTTAGAAACTTCACAATCTTTTGAAGTCCAGATTGGTCCTTGGGGTATTTTCTTGGCCTTTACACTAGCTGTTTATACCCTACATTTTAAATTACCTTCATTTATATGCAGATAATAAAAATACACCTTTATTTGACTCTATTTAATCTACCATTGACAGTCCAACAAAATCTTTTTATATTTGAGCAATTGTTTAGCAGGAAATCAGCCCAGCAATGACATAAAAGAAAAAATCTAACCCTTTTTTTAGGTCTTCTTTCTTTGGAAAGTTCTCTTTAAAGTCCCTCAGCTCTTTCCCAAGTTCCTAATTATATATTCCTTTTCTTATACACTAAAACCACTGCTAGACTTGGGGCAGCCTTGGGTTCCAGGGCCTTGGAGGGAAAACCTGCCCAACAATTTAACTTCTGTCTTATACGCAGGAAGGAAGTCTCTTTTGTGTAGCAACCCAAACTACAGTTCAGCCAGAGCGATTTTAGGTTGCCCCCATAGTAAAAAGTCTTAGGTTGCTATTGCAGCCTAATGGGGCTGCTGGTGTGCATTCACACAGTCCTACTGAAATGCCCTCCTCATTACATGGGTTATTCAGAAGCCAACAGTCTGCACTGACTTCAGTTTCTAAATAACTTTAGATTCAATGTCAGGGTCGAAATGTAGCTCTCGAGTGGCTTCAGGATGGCAGAGCAACTGGTGATCACTAGGATTTGTGTAACAGTGCAGTGAGAGGGGAAACAGAAGATTTCCAGAAACAGAAACCTGGTTATCTAGTCAGGTTTCTTTGCAATGCAAGGTCTTCTCCGTTTACTCTAGTGTACTGTAAATTGCTAGGGAATTGCCAGCAAGGATAACAGCATTTTGTTACTGTTGTGATTAAGAGACTAAATCTTTAGGGCCCCTTTAAATTGCCTCTCCTGTTGTCCTTATTCAAGTAGAATTTCATTGTTTTCAATATGTGGGAGGAGGATTCAGGGGGAAATCCTAGCAAATTTCACCTCTGTCTCAGAGAGGTATGCAAACAAACAGCAGAAGTGAACTTCTAGAGAAATTATTTTACTGCCTATTAGCGTCTGCTAGTTTTCATAGATCCATCAGGAGGCATGAGAATTCCCTTATAAAGTAATTTATGTGCTGTGCTGCAGAGCAACACTTGACTCTTTTGATCTTTGATATTAGGGATAACAGATGTGTAGGCACCTTCATCTTCCTCAGCACTGCCATGCAATCTAAGCTGGACTGGTCTGACTGCTGCTTGTTCCACTAACTCAGTTTTAAGTAACACATTATGATTATCTAAAGCAGAGTCTAGAAACAGGCAGGACTTTAAAAACTGTTTGAAGAACCTGATTAGAAAGGTTCTTCATTTCCAGTCTTTCTTTATGTCCTGGATTCGGCTGGGATAGTGTTAATTTTTAAATAGGTAAGAGAGACACACCACTTTGTAAACATTTTTTCTTAATTGCTTAAACTCATTTGGGCAGTTATTTTCCCAATCACAATATGGTGGCAGTGAAAATTGGTTTTTGTGGTTTTAATGGAAGATTCATCATACACCTTTCCAAAGCTTGGAAAATGATAGCTATGCTTTCTCTTCCTCTTTAAAGATACTGTAACTGTCTTATCTGGACCACCATTACACTAGCAGGTTAGTACTATGCACTTGAGGCCTTTCAGTACTCTACTGCAGAAAGCTAGTTCCTTGCTAAACATCCTTATATGGATTTGAAAATATTATTTCTATGTGTAAAAGCTCTCTGAAAACCTCATGAGGCAACTTCACCCCAAATTGACTATTTAGTTTCAATTCTCTTCACTTTCCTTCACAGGTTCCTTCTTTTCTCTATCTTCTTGTCTGCTGTCAACGGGATTTCAAATGTTTCATGTTTTCTCCCTGAGAAAAAGTGGAAAAAAAAATTAAAAAGAGACAGTTGAACTCCTGCTGCACATCTGCAGAGCCCTGTGGGAACAAAGAGCCAGGACTGACGGGAGGGAGAATGGAAAATCAGTGGGAACAGGCAGGAGACAGGCAAGGCAGTGGGGGAAGGGGCCATGGGGCAGTGGGGGGAATGGGAGCAGAAAGGAGACAGATCTGGTAAGGAGGAGAAGTCCAGTAGGAGAAACTTCTTTGTTTGGATGAGAGAACAAAAAGGAAGCAGAGACAGTAGAAGAAGCATAGCTGTGGGGTTAGTTGTTCGTTATTCCTATCCACTCTCAGTCTGCACCTACGAAGGGGAAAACTAAAACACACAGAGGAAACTGCTTAGCATATGCAAACAAACGTACTTCTTTTGCTCTGATTGTGACTATCTTCTTTTCCCTATTTCTCTCTTCATTTGGCACTTTGTTTAAAAAGTATTAGTTATGAAAATGTAAAGCAGAAAATCTAATATGGCAAGGCTATAGAAGATGCTGACTTCGTTGATCTTGACACATTGATCTAAACGTAGTTTTTTAGCAGCTCAGAAGTACTGGCTTCTCTTAGACAGGGCTGACTGCTGCAAAGAAAACTAATCTGACCTACAAGTGATTTTATTTTTCTCTAAATCTAAAACTTAAATTTGTTACATATCCTGAAAGACTTAGCAGGAAGAAGTTGGCATTAATGTCACAGCTTTTGTATTGTTTGTATACGTTTCAGGTTAACAACTCCTAGTGTAAACCATTTATCTGTGGAAAGAAGAATGCCAAATTGTCATGGGAAATTAATATATATCTTCAGTTATCCACCAGACCATCTAAAATATCAGAAACAGAGCAATACTTATCTTTTCTAAGTTAACTAATATCAGTTCTTTGCTGTAGGACTGAATGTTTTCCTCCTAGCAATATTACAGCAGAGTAGTCAGCATTTCAATGTAATCTGCACTACAATGCCCTATGTTAATGCAGACAGATACTTCAAAAACAGAACAACATGTTAATGGTCCCTCTCATATAATTCTTGGGCCTAACAATTAGTAGCCAGTTTTATTACCAGTTAAGTGCAGAAATATACCATTTAAAAATCTTACAACCTTTGTTCTGGATTTTAGGTGCCTTCAACAAAATGTGTCTTTACTAATTTCTTTTGTAAGTTTGCATGTCTGTTGTAAATAGCACTTTTATCCCCTGGCTTATTGCCTGGAGAATAAGGCAAAGAAACAGGACACCTTATTTTGCTAAAACTTTTGGTTTCTTTTTTAAGTTTATTTTAAGAGGTTAGTGAAGGTTGGAAAACTTTCTTCACTGGTCATAGATGAACTTTTTTTTCAGTTCTTTATCTGCTGTGCTTGGAACTCTGAAATTGGTAGCTGGAAATGAAGCTATTTTGGTGTGAATGGGGTTAAACTCTGAATTTTCAGTTATAAAAATGGATTAAACATCAATTTATTGATTGAGTCTGGAAAAAAAAAAGAACAGTATCAAATTCAGGAAGATTCCTCTTGTGAACATGAATTGCTTATTGGAATAGTCATGTTCTTGCAAAGCAGGCTGACCACTTCCCATTTTTCCTTTTTGTGAAGTCTCATTGCTCACTTTACTTTTCACACATTTACCATTTCAGTTGCTCTGTTTTAAGGCATATTGTGTTCTGTGCAAGATATACAAAACCAGCAGCCAGTTCTGGAAGTAAGAAACAAACTTGTTCTCTAGATTCCTTTTTCTGCAACGAAGTTACATATTCATCCCCGTCCCTGCTAGTAAATAGGGTGTTCAAGCCTTAAAACCAATCTCTTCTGCATGGTTGCAGTGTGATAAATACCCTCCAAAAGCTTGCTTACTTAGCAGTGGCCACTAATACATGGTCTTGGAATAACTTCTGTAGGGTATTTCTTCCACCAGTTGTGGGTAAGTTGCTGGCACTTTGACTTCATCCATGTGTAAACAAACAAAGAGTTGGCCAGTCAGTTCTCACGGATTGGGAAAGCAGTTTACATATCTGGATACATTTGTCTTCCAATTTTCAGTTGTGACAGGAAAAATATTTTGCCTGTCCCTTTCATGTTCTAAAGAGCGAGGGAACCAATTTTTACATATATAAAATTTGGGTGTTTTATCTTGCACAACTTTCTGATGTTTACATATTTCTTTCTCCATCGTGAATGATTAAGTTTCTCATTTTGTTGAAACTCCAAGCTTTCAGTCAATATTTCTAGTTCAAAATAGTTAGTGATCCATCTATGAGAGGTTTTTTCTTCTTCACTGACCATCTATGATTCTTTAAAGTGTTCACACCTCTTCCATTGCAAGAATTGTGTTCTCTCATACAGCTGAGGGTCTTGTCTCTGCTACATTAATCTGTGGTGTCTTTAGTTCTCTGAGCAGTTACTGAGAGTGTGAGATATGAAGACTTCCATAAAACGAAACTGAAAACCAATTTTCTTCAAAAACCAAGAATATGAACAGACTTCTGAATACACTTATTACACTGTTTCCTGGGAAGCTCAATTTATTGATTCATATTCAGTTTAGTTACTTGTACATACTGGCACTTGGAAGGTCTTACATTGGAAAACATTTTCATCCAACTTAATTGTAGTACAAAATAAAGCAAAAATTGCTGGTTGTGGTTTTCACCACTGTAAGTGTATTAGCACAAATGGAGAAATTCAAGTTTCATTATAGTATCTTTAAGCTTTGAGTTGCAGTAATACCAACCATTCTGAAAAATTACTTCACAGATTTGTTACAGAAGAGGAAGAAAAACAGTGGCAAAAATTCTTGTCTTCATGCAGCACCAGAATGGTTGTTAATACCAAAACTTCCAAGTATTTATAGATAATCTGTACCTATGTAGCTTTTTGAGAAATTATACAAAGGTAATTTCTTGCTTCTACATTCTAGTAATTCCTTTCTAGATTAAGAGACTTCTTTTTTATCTGCATTAGTCCAAGGAGTAAGTCTTTATTTTGCTACTTAGAGTTAAAAAAACCCAAACAAATGTTCACCATTACACAGAAAAATGAAGCCATGTAAATTAATAGTATCAGTTCTTAATGAGAGATATATCATCACTGTAGTTATATCAGCTTCTTGAAAAATACTTTAGTACTTTTCTACTTAAGGAGGGAGAAAAATGCAGTATTTACAGAAGAAAGCATTTTCATAGAACATGTATAATTTCAACTGGAAAAACTGATGCAAAAATTATGTGGTTTTAAGTCAAATCTGAGTCCAAATAGTACTGTTTGTTAAAAGAGTCTAAATATTTGGAGCCAAGTACAACACCTGGTCACCTTTGAGCCAGATTCCACAGAAGGATGGTGGCTTATTTCTAATGGGGCTCCCTTGGCTGGACCGCACATACTGTATTTACATGTGATGCAAGGAGGTCCCTCCTCTGGTGACTGGAGAATTCATGAGTGAGTGTAGCTCAGGAGGCTGGGTTGATGTGGGACCCTGACAGAGGTAGTCCATGCTTCTCTTTCCATGTGAGTTACAGCACCCCTGTATCAGAAGAATACAGGTTAACACTAAGCTGACCCAGAACACTTGGTGTCATTACAAGGAACGCAAATAATGAAAACTGAGCCAAGAACATCAGTATTTTAGTCGAGGGACTTTTTTTAGTTTTCAAGTCAAAATGCAGCTTTTCTATTGCCAGAAATCTTGAGATTTCCTTTTTGGGTGGTACTAAATTTTACTTTTCTTTGTTTAAGAAGGAGAACATGTTTTAAAATTCATGCATTCTCATTTTTCATTAGATCTACTCTTTCAGATCCCTAAAAACTGTACTTTTAAAGTTCCTAACACTATATTTTAGGGGGAAAGTATTAATAACAACATATGCATGCCTATTAGAGCAGTAGAGTTGAAGTCTCTCTGTGTTGCTGCATTCAGAATTGAGTGCAAAATGAAACCCAGATCTGCCTTCAAATTAGACAAAGCCTCCCAAGTTGGTACAACAGACTTATGGAACTGATGTTGTAGAATAAGTGAGGAGCAACGTACCAGCACTAGATGCTTCGGAGCCATGTCTTGAAGAGTCAGAAGCACAGGATTTATTTCTTGTGGGGCTACTGCTCTGGCACTGGATTTCTGATGCCCTGGACTGCAAGATACAAGAAAAACTCCTCTGAAAAGGCTTGCTATAAACAATTAATTTCATAGACCTAATTTAAATGTTTATGGCATAGTGCTATATTTGCAAAATAATTAGGTTAGATATACATTTTCTATAGTAATAAATTAATTTCTGTCTCTTCATTTATTTGGAACATCTCTTCTCTGGTAGGACTATATTGAACCTTTCTGTCCTCAACTGAAAAGAAACCATTAGGAAAATGTTTCTCAGAACACCTAAATTTATCTAAAAATGAGCTGTGAAAATTTTATTTGCATGTACTTCTGCATTCAAGGAAACTCAAAATCAGTTTCTTTTAAAGCTGCCAAAGTTGGCACAAATGGCACAAATCCCTGGAACGTAAATATGTGCCTCGTTCTGTTTGAAGAAATCTGGCTTCAAAATAACACAGTTATAGACTTTTGAAAACATGCATCCTGGTTGGCACAGCAGGTTTTTAACATCAGAAGCAAACACCAGGATGTGATGTTCTGAATATTCACTTTCAGTATATTTGAAAGCTCACACCTACTTGTATTTGAATGTGTGATTACTTTCAGAACTGCATTGTTCTGAATCACAGTTACAAAAAGAAAAAGGCTTTGGAGACCTTACTGTTTATTATAAATCAGGTTTCTGCTTTCAGTCAGAGAATGAAAGAACATAGGCATTTTACTCACAGAAACTACTATTACTCTTGTCAAAATAAAGTTAAATAGAACTTCCTGCAAGAGTGACTGCAATCTAGGAAATATGCTGATTCCAATCATTATGCAGAGAAAATATACTCACATTTCTGTGACCCCATTGTCTTCACTTCTCAATTCATAGAAAACTTTGCATGCTTTGAAAGATCTCTTGCAGTGTTGGACAGATTCTTTCTGTCCAAAACTGGAATTGTGTATTCTCCATCACTTTCTCAGTGACACCTGGTGATTTATGATGTTCTCTTGGAAATAAATAATCCACCTTGGAATAAAAGAAACACAAAATTATTTTAAGTAACAAAAAACCATTCTGTACCCTCACAGCAGAATACTGAATACAGCTAAAAGCCATCAAATATGACGATGCTCAGAAACTAATGCATCTTTCAAGCTTTTGATCACTTCTGTTAGTAACTAGAACTAGTCATTACCTTTAAGCCTTGACAACAGTTTTAGACTGAATTTTTGAAAGAATAAGAAAGTGTATTTCTGCCAGTTAGCATGGGGAGTGAGGTTCATGGCTAACTCAAATTTGGTGAAATTCTGCTTCTTCATGAGTGACAGAGGACAGCTGAGATAGGGAGAAGGTTAGATGTTTAAAGTAGGTACTTAAAAACAAGTAAGAAAAATGCTGTCAAAATTAACTATTATTTTATGTGTGTTTCCTCTACCAGAGTAACAGTTACACTGCTTGTTAAATACACTGTACAAGGAAGTAATTAGAGGGATCATGCAAAAGAAGCCTGTGAAAGAACAGTATTAAAAAGTTTTGTTTCTTAAGAAGAACTGTACATCCCTGAATTCAGAGAGAATGTCCGACAGTCTGAGACTATTATAATCCATTCATGGGTTTTGCTGGTTTTGAGACTTTTCAGTAAAATATTGGCTAAATGAGGGAAATATTTCTTTCTTACTTAATTTTATTCTATTTCTTGCAATAATGGTTCTTATTTTAGCCAAATGTTTGTCATTCATACATCAAAGGAATCAGAAATTAATTTCAAACAAAACGGGTCTTTACTCTCAGATTTTCACTTTGGCTTTCATGTATCTTATTAATAGTAAATATTCAGAATTCCCTTTTATGGTGTACTATAAAACTAAAAGCTTACTCCTGATCTTACTATACTTCTGGAGTTATACCTGCAAACTGGTGTTCTATAAAGATCCTGATGTCATTTGCTTGAAAGGCTTATTTGTAGATATTAGATATAAGTAGATATTAAACTCCATTTTTAAAGCCCAGAAGATCTAGGAAAAAAAACCAGTCTTTCCTTTTTATGGTTAATAAACACTTATAAGCTGTAGGGTAAGAAAAACATGAAATGTACATCCAAGAACTATTGCAGCTAATTTCTTTGAATTCATTTTATTTAAATAAAATCTCATGCAGAACAGGGAGAGGTTGAAAACAGAAGATGTGAACTCCTGCTCCTTCAGTCTTCTGGGCAGATTTACCATTTATCTACCAGAGACACAATTTTTAAAAAAACCTTTAAAATAAAAATTCTGGTTAGTTTTAGCTCTCAAGAGAACAAGAAGTTACAAGTGCTAGATGACATTCATGCTACAGTCCATGTCTGCCCACAAACTAGCACTTGAGATTACCAGATTTCTGCTACCTCAATCCTGAACTCGACTTTATGCCAGTTGTACCAAACTGCAGAGTGCTTTAAAAGGTTTCCTTGTGTGAGCTCTGTGCCTCTGGTACATATCACTCATTTGCCTGCTACAAGCTTTCACTGCAAAGTTAATTTTACTTTAGACACCCACCCTCCGACTCCATACCGATATTCAAGATCATACATATGGTACAAATAAAAAAAGTGCCTGTCATGTTGGGAATATTTCATACTCTTTTTAGAGGTTCTGTACTGTAAGTAAAAAAAAAAAAGTTAGACAGTGTAATTATTATAAACTGTGATTATTATAAACTGAGCTTACTTAAAGAAATTTTCATATTTGAATCAACTAGGAGGTAAACATTGTCTGCATAATATTGTATAACACTTGACATCTAATGACATCCTGAAATTCCTTTTCCTTTAACTCATTTTATGAAGCCTTGCATTAAACTCAGAAATGTGATAACAAAAAAAAAAACCAAAAAAACCACACAAAACCAAACCAAAATAAATCCAAAAACCAAACCAAAACAACAAAACAACAAACAAACAAACAAGCCCAAAGTATTAAACTTTTGGTTTATTCATAGTTTTCTACCATACTGGAATAGCTGTAGAGAGATGTAATATTCTTTATAAAATACAATTTTTGTATTATATATATGACTTGTCACTAACACTCTCTGTTTTTCATTATTTTATTGTGTGACCATATCCCTCATCTATGGAATGCATATTTACATGTAATTTACAATGAATAGACAAATTGACACTGACTTTGAGTACCAAATTTTAATCTCAGCAATCTTTAATTTTTATACGTGTATGATGGTAAATTCATTGAGTTCTTTATTTGGTTCTTCTGGAAATTCAGTGGCTTTCTTGCCTCACGCAGGAAGCAAATCTAGCAAAAAACACCCAACAAAGTTACTCTATTTCTGTAAGAGTTATCTGATGTCTAAAATTTTTGAGTGACTTGAGGACCAACTGTAAGCTAAGGCTATGAAGCTGGCTTCAGAAGATTTCAGGAATCATTCTTATTGCAGGGTCCACTTTCAATTTATAAAATACTGGTGTGGGTGACTCATTATACAACACCTTCAGCATTCTGTGTTCCAGTAGAGTGAGGCTAAAGCAACTGGTAGGACTGTACAGAAACAACAGCAGGGGCATATGCTTGGTGGGCTGCTCAGCTACACGCTGAAAGCAACTGATTCCAGCACTGTGGGGGATGTCTTTTCTGTCCCATATGTAACACCAGGCAAGAAGTTGTAGTGAAAAAACTCCCGAAACAGCAAATGAAGTCAGACAGAACAGTGTATCCTGGCAACATCTTTGGAAATGATTTGCGAAACCAATAGTCTGGTATATGTAAAATAATATTTAAGGAAAACAGATGTAACATCATGCAGCCCTCATCTCCAATATGCCTGCACCTATGTGTAGTCTTTGGGACTTCAGTGACATGTTTATGCAGAGCTCCTTGCAGAGCCTAGTAAAAATAAATCCCTGCTATGAAGAACAACAGAGAGGGAAAGTGCAGCTTAACTTTCATCTGGAACTTCTGTCCTCAGGACTTTTGAAGTTGTATTTGTTAAGTGGCATGTCATATCCGCTTGTGGCACCTACAAATTTAAATACATACAGCATGAGTACCGGTGTGAGTAATTGTGAGTCTGCTCCTGTGCACACTGTCTTTGGTTGACTGGGATTTAAAGAGCAAGTGCTCCCATACCTGCTTAACTGGAATATTTGTCCCTTTGAATCCAAATTAATATACTTTTTTAAAGGGTCACCAAAATCCTTCCACATTTAGCTAAATTATTTTGCTTTCTGCAGTAACAGAGCATGTCCACATTTACTCTGCTTTTTCATAATTTAGTCCTTTAAGCCTCTGAAAAAAAACTAAGGTGGGAAGAACCAGAGCTCCTGGGAAATATGGAGTTAACCCAGTTTTGTTACCAGGAGTAGGAAATAGCTCACCCCTGCAGTCAATTTGCCTAATTGATTAGAAGCTTGATTGCACCCGTGAAGGACTGGATGCCCCAGGGGGGATATGCATGCACAGAGGCAGGGAAATTGCACGGCAGCTTCACAGGGATGGGGTCTCCTGTGCTGCTAGGGCCCGGGCTAAGAAATCATTTTCCACCGACTGCTTCTGGATCAGCACCCACGCTCATCTCCAGCATGTTCCCAAGCACAAAGTCGGATTGTAGACTTGGAGAAAGAGGGTCAGGAAGGGAAACCTGAGTGCTACCTCCTACAGGCTGCTGAGCGCCCAGCTGGCACAGAAGCCATCAGGCTGTGAGGGTACTCAGCCCCCCGCGGTGAGTCTCTCCAGCAAGAGAAATATTATTTTCCCCACCCAAACGCTCCCCACCTGCAAGCAGTAATCGGTTTACTACTTTAGTCTTTTCTGCTTCATCAGTACTCAGAGTGAGAACTAGAAATGTCCCAGTGACAGAAGTCCCAAGGCTTGGTAACCAGAGAGGCTCCGTGGTTCCCTAATCCATTCGGGGATGCTGCCGAGTGAAGCCCAGCGGCGGGAAGCAGTTTACAGTACAGTAACTCAGCCCCGTCTGGGCTTTTTCAGCTTGGCTTCATTACTATTACCATGATAAAGACCAGCTTTTCTTTTTTTCTACTTCCCTTTTGCCCCTTTAAGTCTCTACTTGCTCTTGACTTTTATGAATTTCCCTTTGAAACCTTGACACTTTGGCTGTTCTCCGAGACAGATCTGATTACAAGAGTTCAAATAAACTTGGTTTTTGGGAGGTGAGAGAGGAGAAAGCATGGATAACGGAGAGATGTTGTGAAGATTTTCTGGCAGAACTCATCTCCTTCCAAGGCTCTTCAGGTCTTCTCTGCAATTCAGAGGGCCCAGAAAGCTTCAGCTGTGGGACATAATCCTAAATCCAGGTTTAGCATGAAATAGAAATAGCAAAATGTGAGCCTAATAGGACAAACAAGAACTGCAGGCTATCAACGGTTTCAATGTGAAATACTCCACCTTCTTCCACTGAGGCCTCACCATTCTTACCTTGAGAAAAAATTTGGTAACAGTTCAAGTTTTAAAAAGAAGAACCCATGTGAAGGCTCATTCAAAAGCATTACACTGTGAAACAGCATGGTGGCTTACAGTCCGCTATAGCACTCATCCAGTGCTGATGTGAAGTTTTATCTTTCCCCCCCTACATCTCCATGACTCGCTGGAATTCCTGGGCAGTCCCCAAATCCAAACCAACCTGCTCTCTCCTTAACTTGTAGGACTTAGTGACCCCCATGTTGCTTGGGCTGCAAGGTACCAAAAAAAATAATAAATGTATTTCTAGAGCCCTTTATGAAAAGTAATCTCTCTGATCCAGACATCATAGAACTCAGGTCTACTTTCCTGAGAGCAGAAAATTACTCACAACTTCAGTCATGGTTCACCTGGTGGTGGCTTACAGAGATTCTCTTTTATGTCAGTACAAAAAAAGGCTAGTAAGGACAACATAGCCATCATCCAATTTCTAACACCGTGTAAAGAGGAGAACCGTGGCAGGGGTTAGACTACTCTGGTGACATTCATAAATCACTTGAAACAAAGACACATGAGAAAACTTAGCCTAGCCTCATCAGAAGAATTATT